AAATGCGCTTTACACAATTGATGTGTGTATGGATTGGGATAACAGTTGTATGAGCCCCTAATAAAATGTTAAAAAAGAAAAAGAAAAAAAAAGCATACAACCATAAACATGTTCAAAGTAAAGAAAACCATATTTTAAAAAAAAAAAAAGATAAGGTGGGGGTAGAAAGGGGGAACTGATCACAGTGATCTACATATAACCCCCTCACCAGGGGGACAGACAACAGAAAAGCGGGTGAAAGGAGACATTGGTCAGTGTAAGACATGAAAAAATAATAATAATCATAAATCATCAAGGGTTCATGAGGGAAGGAGAGGGAGGGAGGGAGGGATGGAGGGAGGGGGAGAAATGAGGAGCTGATACCAAGGCTCAAGTAGAAAGAAAATGTTTTGCAAATGATGATGGCAACAAATGTACAAATGTGCTTGATACACTGATATATGTATGGATTGTAAGAGTTGTCCGAGCCCTCAATAAAATGATTTTTTTTAAAAGAGTGGTATGAGCCCCCAATACAATGATTTTCTTTTTTAATTAATGAAAAAGAACTTTGGAGATTGGCAAAGGTCAACTCCAGGCCACAAGGACAACCTCAATTTTACGAACTTCCAAGTATCCACTTATCCAGTGTAATTAACTATTATAATGGTTGCAAATACATTGCCAAATGATTCCAGGGGAGTAATAACAGGAAAATTCCAAAAGCTTCTTCAAGAAGATAGTGTATTATTAAGTAGGCAAGCTCACTTACTTTTGGTATCTGTGAAGAACAGAACCAGGTCTACACACTGTGTGCCCTATCAAAGTCCAGGCTCTGGTTCTCCAAAACGTACAGAGGACGGATATTCAGACTCCTGGACAAAGAACAGCGAAGGCTCACAGCTTAAAGACCAGAGGAAGAAAGATGGAATGAGCATGTCTTCACTGGCACTAAATTCTATGTGCAGACAAAACTAAATATAGATCTACAGAGACTTCTAAAGCGCTGGACATAGAAAGGCCTTTACAAACACCAGGGTATACATAGACCAAGTGCACGAGGTTTGTGAAAACTGAGAATCATGGGAGCAAAATGAAAGTACTCTATGGCCTAAGGCACTACTGCAGGGGAAAAAGCATACCCCACTTTTAAGTGGGTATCAGATGTCAGTTGCTGTGGAAGGGAGATGAGTGCCTTTCCACGTTCACAGTCAGAGTTCACAAAAAAAAAAAAAGGTAAAAGTCTGGAGATCACAGCCAGAATATCGAAGTGAGAAATGCCATTGGTAACTTCAAGAAAGCAGTGATTAAACAACCCCTAGACGGAAAAACTCAAGGAATATTTATGGGGCACACAAGCCATTCAAATCGGTAGGTTGTACTGCAAAGCCATAACCCCTGGCTTCTGAGTTGATCCCAGCACATTGGGATCCTATAAAACCAACCGGCACTGTCCGAGTCATCAAGGCTTTACAGAAGCAGACTGCCACATCTCCTCCCACGGAGAGGCTGGGGGGAGAGAGGGGTGGTGGTGGTGTTTGAACTGCCAACGTTTCTGTTAGCAGTTAAATGCTTAACCACTGTATCACCAGGGCTCTTTGTGGAAAACCAGAGAGCCTCGTAATTAGAAGAGAGGGGAGAATGAATCCTTGCATAAAGAAAGCTTATAAGACCATGGCATTTAATTCTAAATTGAATTCTACCAGCATTATTAAACACCTCTAAGTGTCAGGCATCTGGCTAGTGCTGTGCTCTCCCCTGTCTCTGCTGGCAGTCCCAAACCAGCAGCCTCTCCATGGAAGAAAAATAGTCATCTCTTCCATACAAACACAGCTTTGGAAATCCATGGTGGCATCCACTCTAACCTAGAGGGGTCCAACAACAGAAGGGGTCTTAGGGTTTTGTCTGTTGGTGCCGGGTATCACATAGTCCATAAACAGAAGGACAAGTGATTACAAAACGTAAAAAACCTTACTAGCCATAAAGCCTGGAGCATGGCAACTTCCTGCTCCAAACGTCTGTTCCTTTATGTGTAAAACATCTATCTTGTAGAATTACTGCTCTCTCATTCACTGCCAGCAAGTTGCTTCAGATTCATAGTGGCCTACTGGAGAGAGGAGACGTGTTCCACGGTATACCCAACACTATAAATCTTCAAAGGGCCAAATAAGTCATCTTTCTCCCAGAGAATAGCTGGGGGGCTTGAACTGCTGGCCTTGTGGCTAGCAGCCTCAAGTTTAACCCACTGTGCCACCAGGTCTCCTTAGAACTATGCTAGAAGGTCATAAAATCCTTTTTGACAAACATCCCTGGAGTCACACCTAGCTTGTGTGCTCGAGGACTGGCAAGGAACTTGTGAATGAGTAGCATACGGAGTAGAAACCTAATGGTTCTAGAGTAAGATGATAATGGAATGACAAGGGGAATCGCTCTGTGACCGCATTAGAGGTGGGAGGAGCCATTTTGGAAAAGGTGTTACAAGGAGCATTGTGATCGGTGGGTTGGAAAAGGACAAAGGGTGGTGAGCTGCAGAGGATCTGAACAAGTCTGAGCTTCTCCCAGTGTCACTGAAAGATCTGGTAGCAGGTAGGTGCCCGTGGAGTCACAGGTAAATGGCAAGGCCTCTTGGTGCAAGGAGACCCATCGACGGGGAAAGAGTGAAGGGCCATGCTGTGTCTTGCTCCTCGCTGCCTCACATCTGCCAGTGACTTAGCCCACTGAACATGGGTGCTGACCCCACCCTGACCTGAAGTAGATATCCACTCATACCTTCTGAGACCTCTCAGCTATGCTTCCTGCTCTTTGTGGTGTGACTGCTCTCAGTAGCCATTTAGTCAGCCCCTGACTCCGGGGGAACGACTTACTCAGCCGAACAAAGCGCTACAAGTCCTAGCCTACCCCTGGGATCAGTTTCAGACAGCAAGTTTTGGCCCACAGGGTTTTCTTTTTCTTTTTTTTTTTTTCAAGGATCACAATGTTTATTGATAGATACAAGTATATAAAATCAGGGCATGAACATGACTTGATAAATTAAGTAGACTTAATTTCAATACTATAATAAGAGGGACCAATTAAAATGCTCACCATTTGTTTCACACCCACACAAACCACTTCGAGGGCATTAATGATCTCTCAAAACTGATCGGTTTTGTGCAAGTAAACCATGTTTCTTTTTAAAAGACTTGTGCACTTGCCCAGGCTCAAGGATATTAAAATCTAGCACATAAAGCCCATTAGTAGAGGTAGAAACACAGGCAATATACTATTACGGCAACACCCATCAATTACAGTTAAGAATTTTTCCGTAACAATGAAATGGATAATCAAATATTGCAACAACTCAAGTATTACTGAGCAAAGTGCACACAGGGTTTTCTTTGGCCAAGTTCTAGAAGTAGATCTCCAGGCCTTTTTGTCTGACTTAGTCTGGAAGCTCCGCGGAAAAATGTTCAGCATCATAGCAACACACAAGCCACCGCGGACAGATGGGTGCTGCTTTCTTCTCTCTGTATCAGAGGGAAGTCTAGTTTAGCTCTTCCAACAAGTTAGACAACAAGCGCTCTAGTAAGCAAACACACGGAAAGGCTGGGAAAACAAATGAGGAAATCAGCACATGGTTCCTGCCATCACTGCGAAGAGGGATTCCCTTCCAGATCCACTCCGATCCCTGCATTCCACAGTAACAGCTTCGGTGTGCATTCTCAGATCCTACCTCCCTGTCACCCTGCTCAAGCTCCAGGCACCTTACATAAGCTAGGATTCTTGCTTGAACTTTCAGTCCTGAAACGCTAATGCAGTGCTTTACTGGAAGCAAGAAAAGATTGAAGAGGAGGGAAAAAAGAGGAGCGGATACCAAGGGCTCAACATAGAAAGCAAATGTTGAGAAAATGTTGATGGCAACATATGGACAAATATGTTGATACAATTGATATATGGATTGCTATAAGAGCTATGAGAGCCTCCATTAAATAAGAAAGAGATAGAGTGAGGAAGCAAACAGAAAGAATGATCACAATATATCATGGAATAAAAGCAAACCCAGATAGTTTACCTTCTAACATAGAGGTCCCAAAGAAGACAGCAGACTCCAGGGCACCCCATGGAAGCCTGACCCCAAATAGGTGTGTGCATAGGGCTCCGTCTCCTTCTGCTGCCTCTCGGATTTAGTGTGAATGTGCACAGAAATACATGCGTGTCTCTTAAGAGACAAGACAGTCATCTCCAGTGGACTTGTCAACTCTACTTGGCTAAGCTAAATGTGTCCCCATTTAAACCTAAATGTGTCCCCATTTAAACCACCAAAACTAAGCGTTGCTTGAATTTGCCAGTGATCATCAACAAAAGGTATCATACAGCTCTTTAGACAAAACTTTATCTACAGCATACGGAGGGAGGAAAAACAGATAGGGAAGGCAAAACCATTTCAGTTACGTTAGTGTGTTCGCTAGGCTTCCCATCGGACCATCTGGTGGCTGCATTTTGGGATGCTTGTTCAAAGGCAAGAGGAAGAGAAAACGAAGTTATAGGAAATCCCTACAAGACAAAGGAATGAGGCACTAGAAATGCATTGAGCTGTGACTGATGAAACCAGGCTTCTAGTTCCGACTCTGACTCTGGCTATGTAGATATGCACCCTATGGGGCCACAATGGTGCAGCCTCTAGAAGAGGGTGCCATAGACCATTTCTAAGGGCTCTTGAGGCATTTACGGTCCATGCATTGTGGTAATAAAACTATAAATGGATGAGCTGTGATAGTCCAGCAAACAGCATACTCTACATTACTCCCACGACACCAGAAGGCCCCCTGTAGCCCCCCAGTTCCTGCACTTACCCTCGCCCCCAGGTTGCTTGTACGGGTTGTACTTGGGTTTGGGAGCAACTACTGGTGCAAACTTCTTGGGGTGCTGCTGTGTAGACACTGAAATGCTGGGCGTCCCAAAGGAATGGGTAGTCTCCATCCGCGCAGGCACGTGGCCAAGGGGCTCTCCGGTGCTTTTCGGGGGCAGCCAAGAGGGATGAGACATTTTTGGAATCTGGAATTAAAAAGAAACAAACACGGATGTTTTATAAAATCACGAAAACACGGGCAACATGCCTTACAATTCATTCTTATCTCATCTTAATCCAGACGTCCAACCATCCTGATAAAGCTCTCCCCGGGGAGAGGGAGTCCGCAAACGAGGGAAGAAGAAGAGAGACGTAGGAAGAGAAAAAAGAGGAGGAGGAAATAAAGCATTAGGGAAGGAGAAATAGAAAGAAGAGGAGGAGGAAAAGAGAACTTTTTTTTTTATTCAGTCTTTAGTACCTTCCCCTCCAAGAGTTAACAATTTTAGTGCTTGTAATTTTCAGGAAATAGATGTGATTATTTTTTAAAGAGTCCCAATCCTGAAGGAGAATCTTAAGCTCACATGGTAGGAGAAATAAGCTTCACTTGGTTCAAATACCTCCCATACTAAGTGAATGGTGATAAGTTACTTAAGCGAAGTACAAGTGTTACTGAGATGTACCCAAAAAAAAGATTGCTTCATGTTGGGCTTAGCACTAAGACCCGATTGATACATAAGACATTCAGATTGGGCCTTGTATGCCAAAAAGAGAGATTGGGTCGGAATAATATTAGCAAAGGCCAATAGGCAGAAAAGTGCCTGGCATTTATGTTGACTGTAGCAGGGGCAGAGAGGGAACAGAGAAGACAACCAGGCAGCAAAAGGAGCCCTGCGGTGGTGCCTAACCCAAAGGCTGGAAGTCCCAGGGCACCGGAGCTGCCTCAGAAGAAACGGACGATCTCCTTCACAACAAACAGCCGCTGACACCCACCATCCAATTCTGACAGCAACGGGCCCACCCCGAGTCAGGACCTTCTAGCTTGCAAAAGACAAAGGGTAGATGGCACCAGAGAACAGAGCTTGAGCAACAAGCTTGGCAAGTTTCCGTGTACATTGTTGGTTATAGACACTGGCACAGATGATTCCTACCCACAGCAATCTCATGTCGGGTTTCCGGAGCTGTCAAGGGGAGAAATGAGGCACCGTGCTGTCTGGCTCCTAGTACTGGCCACACCAGGAATGAGTGAGATGACTTTGGACGGGTCTCCCTACACTCACCCTCGTTCTGTGCCTCTGGCATCTTCCACGAGCAAAATTTAAACAAGAACCCTGTTTTTCAAATTCAATCTATTCTCACAAAAAGTCAGTAGGAATTACTGGGAGAAAACGGGTGCAGGTAAGAGTAACATGAATTGAGGGAGATTCTGAACTGGGAATCAACACAGGTCATTAAAACCAGGGATGATATTGGCTTTTAACACTCTTTGCAAGATCCATTTTCTTTTTCTCCTCGATCACTTGTGTGCAAACTATGAGGGGGGCTTCAAATAGTTCTTCCAAAAGAAGAATTAAAGGATGGGATGATCCATAAACTTTTAAAAGTACGGTACTTTTATACAACACACAGAGGTACTTGCTAAATTGTGAGTTCATTGAAAGATCAAGGGCCATATTTTGCACAACCCTTATGTAAAGCCTAGGGAGAAATCAGTAAAGAAAAGCAACCAATGAATGCCTGTTTTATTTGATTCTTTTATATAACTGATGATTTGGGATAATTTTAAAAGGTGTTTTTTGAGGGTTTGTTTTGTTTTGTTTTGTTTTGAAATACCAAAACCGAATCCATCTCTCAGGACTAAGAAACACCAGTTTTGGCTTAGTTTTGCTTAATGAGTCGCAGTTTTCTGCCAAATGGAGATAAAAGTGTCTGTTCTGCTTTCAACATGACTAAAGGGAGTGCAAGCAGGGACTGCGTGGAATAAAATAAAGATTTGAACATTGTAATGCATTGAAGTACATTTGGTTACATTTTCATGTAAGGAATCTAAGTATATTTGTCATAGAAATTTTAATTCCTAATTTTTATATTGCATTAATCCTATCCTTGCAACACCCTGGTAAAACTCAAATAATTCCAAAATGAAAGCTTTTTTTTTTTAATGGGCGAATGTTGGATGAAGTGATTTCTACAGCAGGTGCACATTGCTAGAGCCAGTCCATGTCGTCTGTTGAGTTAGGCATCCTGGCCTTTGATATTCCACAGGCATAAAAACAGTCAACTTCTGAAAGATGAAAACTTGAGCAATAGCATGGAAACCACTGGTTCCACAGTCTTTTTAATTACCCCCAATACCAGTTATGATCTGGACACTCTCCCTCTATAGCATCACTTCCGAGAGCTCTACCTCCTTGGACGGGTGGCGTCTGGCCAAATTATCTGATCTCAGAGGAACTTTGCAGTATCTTCTCTTGCCATTTTGCTCCAGGTTAACATCAGTCCCACAGCATCATTCTCATACAACAAACTCTCCTGACCAGGAGTCCCTGATCCTGTGGGGCCCGCTATCTACAATGGCCTCTTATCCCATCACTGCCTATATCAAGTCCTATTTTATTTTAATCTAGATCCAATTCAAATTTCTTTGGCTCTGTGAACATTTTTCTACTTCCCCTTAAGATGAAGAGCTTAGTTCCTTTTCTGGCCTCCACTAGTAGCACTTTATTTAAATAGCTTCTAACAGCCCACGTGGAAGCCATTTGCTGGCCTGCCTACCTTCCCCAGTAAATGAGAAGCTCCTTCATGGCCTCACCTTCGAGGTACACAATGAGGCCCAGGCGTCCTGAGAAAAGGTGCTACATGTGAGCAGCTAAGTGCATGAGTGCTGATCTCCCCATGTCACCTTCTTTTACAATTTCAGTCTGCTTCTCCTTAGCTTCTCCTGACACAATCATGTCTCGCTTAATTTGGTGATACAATAAGCCAGACTGATATTGAACCATCTTGGTACCACTCAATTTCTGTGTTTGGGTATATTGATAAATTTGAACCTATTTTACATACAATGTTTGTATACATAATCCTAAGTACAATCATTCCATCATGGGCAAAACTCCTCCCTCACCCCCTCCTGTTTCATTCATCATTTCTAGGTCCTGATATAAACGTCCTGAATCCTTTTCCAACATCTGGATTCAGCTAATGACAACATTGTAAATTTTCTGACCTTTAAACGTTTATCAGGAGCCCTGGCGATGCAATGTGCGAGTGCCTGGCTGCTGAGTGAAAGGTTCCAATCTACTGGTTGCTCTGCAGCAGAAAGGCCTGATCATCTTCTCCCATCAAGGCTAAAGCCTAGAGAACTCTCCACAGCAGCGTGCGCCGTCATATAAGATCGCTGTGCGTCAGGACAGCAACAAAGGCTTCACAGAAAGCAGTAAAAAGGGACCTAAATATACTTTCTTTAATAGTAAGTCTTCATCACATGCCCAGTACATTGTAGCCATTTGAGAATTATCCTGAGGTCAGGCCCTAGTATTTGTATTCTGAAGGAAAGTCATGCACTTCCACTAGCTTTTGCCTCGCTCCTTTTCAACTGTTACTGCCTCTTCACTGAAACCTATAGATCCTCTCCTGTAAACCCTTCAGACCAGTGCTTCCCAGAGTGGGTGATACTGCTCCCTGGGGCGGGCCAGAGTGGTCCAGAGGGGCTCCAAAAGCAGAGAGCTAGCTATACCGCTTCCTGGATGATGGGTACAGGACAAACATTTGTAATGGCCAAGTGGGCACTACATATATATTTTTTTCTTTCTGAAAAGGGGGTGGTAGGACAAATAAATTTGGGAACCTCTGCTTTAGATCTTGAGTATCACTTCCCATTAGCTCTTAAAGACATACTTCAGTTCAAATTGTATGCCCTTTCTCTGTCTTGACAGGACAAGACACAGCACCAGACACATTGTGGTACTACTCTACCTGTCTATTTCTCAAAGTAAAACTCTTAATTCTCAGGAGCAGAGTAGCTATCATTTTTAAATGCACAGATAAGTGAATGGTAGGCACTCAATAAAAAGATGGTTGGCTTCGTTAATTAGTTGGTTAATTACTACTTGTCTGGCACTGGGTTCACATTCTACACCCACTGAGCTTAAAGCTGACCTGACGTGGACACACATATATCGATACACAATAATGAGAGACAGAGTAGCAGAGAAAACATATGGCTAGTAGGAAAGACTGAGGCATGTTGCAATGGCTAACGCAGATTCCACCAGGGTCCCCTTCAACCAGATCATCTTTAAAAGCTGGTGGGGCTGAAAGAAACCTGACCCACTAAGGGCGTGACCAGAAATACTGGGCGCTCAGGAATATGGGCTGGGTATGTCTATGGAGCAGAGAATAGACGACTGGTACTGAAAGGAACTATTCAAGTAGAGGAATGCTTGAGGGAAATGGGAGGAAGATAAAATATTCTTTAAAAAGAAAAAGATCTTATAATAGAGATATGAAAAGAGAGACCTTTTATCCTAACAACGAGCTCTATAAAAGAGTGAAAATCCTTGTTCAGAAAAGAAACCCAGGGCATGTGTATGGTGATAAAGACTCTAAGGAAGGTATTGAATGCTATAGTATAAGTATCGAGTCTCTAGAGCAGCGGTTCTCAACCTGTGTGTCATGACCCCTTTGGGGGTTGAATGACCCTTTCACAGGCGTATCCTGATTCATAACAGTAGCACAATTATAGTTATGAAATGGCAACAAAAATAATTTTATGGTTAGGGGATCACCACAACATGAGGAATTGTATTGAAGTGTCATGGCATTAGGAAGGTTGACAAACATTGCTCTAGAGTTGCAGGGGTCCTCAAACTACGGCCCGCGGGCCACATGCGGCCTGCCAAGGACATTTATCCGGCCCGCTGGATGTTTTTGCCCCGTTTTGTTTTTACTTCAAAATAAGATATGTGCAGTGTACATAGGAATTTGTTCATAGTTTTTTTTAAACTATAGTCCGGCCCTCCAACGGGTCTGAGGGACAGTGAACTGGCCCTTGTTTACAAAGTTTGAGGACCCCTGAGAGCCTCAGTTCTAATCTCAGCTTCACCAATAACTATCAGGTGACCTTTAACAAGAGAGGTTACCCATTTGTAAACTTAATGTCTGTAAAGGTTCAACCAGCTCTAATAATTCCATATTGCTTTCCTGCTGT